GTGCAAGGTTGCAGCTCATGCGAATCACCCACGGCGACTATCACGGGACCCCTGCTAGTTGTGCCGCCTTGCGCTGGCAGCGAGAGCGACATGTTCGGCGTCGCATCGACTGTGCCGCCGTCCTATGACGCATCGGCATCCGTTGACCCGTCGGGGCGTTCAACGTGGGATGAAGTGACCTGGTCGGTCGCGGCTGAAGGCGATACTGCCGGCCGCGCGATTCTGCAGACCGTTGTGACGCAAGTCAACGCCAGGACCAATTTGAGGCAAGGCTGCTTTTAATTTAGCTTTGCTGTGTTAGTTTGTGCTTCATGTTGCGTGACGTTTGTTGTCCATACGTCGCCTCCGATGCTAATTTGTGAAAGATTGAAATGGTGATTCACTCCCCGCTTTGCACTGCACAGGAACCGCCTGGTTCTGGGCCTCACCGCGAACAACGTGAGGGACCTGCCCTCTTCCAGCTACCGCCTCATGGTAAGTGCGCTTTAATTTGTTTTACATAACTTAAAAGCAAGTATGTCACTTGAGATTTTTGTATAGAAGCCATGCCCCGAACGGTTGGGTGGTTCACACGCCGCCGCGCATTTGCAGCCGTTACGGAACGTGCCAATTTCCAGACTTATAACATTCAGGTGGAGTGCTATACATTTACATGTCACAGAAATTAGATCCGCTCGCTTGGCAATAAAGGGGCGGCTCTAGCCTTCGCATTCCTCCATTACCCAGCACTCGCACCAGCACGCACCTTAGGTGGGCTAGCACAAACAAACACAACCGCCTTAACCACCGTGCCAACTGCAACTCCAACCAAAAGCCACAATCAATGCAAATCCGTCCATTCCATGGAATGTCTGCCTGTGCAGGTCACTGTCACGTCCTGGCTCGGCACATCCGCATCTGCGAACATTTCGTTCTCCAGGGTCGCCGCGGCGAGTAAGCCCACTGTGCGCATCGCGGGCCCTAATCAGCAGAAGTTCCGCATCTCCTCGGGCGTGAGGGTTTCCGCCTGGGCCGGCAAAGTCTGCGGAGGTACGTTGGAAGCGGAAAGGCTAGGGCGAGTCCTGCATGGCACCCGGAGATTCACGGGCCAGGGCTGTTCCACGATGCACAGTGTGGCGGCTTTGGGATAAAGCCAGGAGGGCGATGTGGTGGTGGATGAAGTCCGGTCCTGCATTGAGGGGGTGCACACACCCTTACTCTCCTCCCTCATGGATGGCCCAAAGTGACCTACATGAGCTGTTGGATTGGATGTGGGGGTTGCAGGGAAAGCTTCGGGAATGTCATTTGTGCGACTTGCTGACAGTGTTACGGCGCGTTGGGGTCTTTTCCCTTGTGGCGGGGAAGGCAGCTGCTCCCACAAACATCGCCATAACCGCTGCCAGTGCCCTTAGTTACAGCCGCTGCTGCTGCTACATAACCGGTGTTCTGTCTTGAAATGCCACACGGTGCGCAGCCCAAGCTCTGGAGTGGCGCTGGAGTTCACCAAGTGGCTGGTTGGACAACTCTAATGCTGTACTGACTAGCCAGCAGCTGTACGTTCCGGGCCCGGTTGCAGCGCTGCACGGAGAGTCCTTCACTCTGGAAGCAAGGGCCTCATTCGACAAATTCGGTACGTTTACTGCCTCCCTCTATCTTCACGAAGCGTCCTGATTTCCTTGCCTGACGAACTTGCGCCGATGTCTCCAAAGCGCTCTCCAAAGCTGCCATCTGGGCCCGCACCTTATGGTCTGGATCTGGTCTAACCCTTGCCCCTCCCATTCCTCCCCCACTCCCTACACACAGCCAATGAGGGTACAGATACGGTGGAAATGACAGCCATCGGCTCGCCACCTGCAGCCGTCCTCAGAGGTCCCAACGGCGACATCACTAACGACAAGGATATTGTACTCAATGCCACGGCCTCGTACGATCCCGACTCCCCGGGTGCTACACTCGCTTACAAATGGAGCTGCAGGTAGGAAGCGATAGTGACAGCAGCTGCGGGCCCCGGGTTGGACCGACAGCTGGTAGTTGAGGGGGGAGAACGACGCAGGCTAGAAGCCAGGATAGAAGGGGGGGTCGGGAGCTTGAACTCATCGGGCCCAGGCTCCCGCGGGAACTGCTGAAGGGGTTGGCAAGGATGATAGATGGCTGCAAGCTACCCGACCTACCTGCCTGCCCGACTGCACCCTAGCGACCACGTAACGACGCACTTTAACGGGAATTGCTCACGAAGGAAAATCCGGAATGAGCCATAACTCATAAGGGCGGACACCCAAGCGACTGCGTTAGTCCTCAACAATGGTGGCTTTCTCACCCTCCCCCTGCAAGCGGTATTATCATTTGCTCTTCCCCTGTATCAGTTCATGTTTCATGGACTGAATGTATCATGGAATGAATAATTATTTCCATCCCTCCCGTTCTCGTTGCATGTTACATAGTGTGCGTGATGCCCTCCGTTTTTCTGCCGTGTGCATACATGTAGGCGTGATGACTTCCCCGAGCCGTGTTTCAAGGGTGCAGAGCTGGGAGACAGCACCTCCATTCCGGGTGTGTGGAAGATTCCTGGGGGGCTGCTTCAGAACGGCGTGAGCCACGTCTTCACGGTAACTGTTGTCAAGACCGCCGTGGCGCCAGGGGAGTCACCGCTGACGTCATCCGCTTCGGTCCGCTTCCGACCCCGGTCTGCCGCTGACAACTTCCCCCGCGGAGCACTGGTACGCCAGTGCACCGGAGCCTCCTGCGCAGCGGGCCACCCGGTCACCCGGCGTCTGACGCTGCTGTTGATGTTGGCCAACGGCTTCAGGTGGGTGCTGCGGCGGTTGGCGTCCGGGATTGCGGTTGTGTGTCGGGCATTAGGTACAGGGTCCCTCGCTGCCTTAGCGTGCATTTCCTCCCATGCTGTATGAAGCCTTTGCCTGCTTTTGCAAATTTACCATCCTGGGATGACCTGCTGCCCCTACCTGCCGCATTTCCCCTGCTACCTCTCGCGGATACGCCTGCAACTGTTCACCTACGTACGCCCATTGGACAACGCGCGGGACAACAACTACAACCAACAACGAACATATACCCGTCAACACCATCGTACAGCGGCTCCACTGTGACCTGGTCCAGCGATCAAATCCCCAGCCTAAGCGGACTTGCAGCGGACAGTGACAAGAGCCTGCCTGCCAATGTTGTACGGCTCAACATCCCTTCGTCGTACCTGCCTACTACTCAGCCCGTCGTTACCATCGTTGCCAACTTGACATTTAACGGTGCGACCGGTATGGCCTCGGTAATCGTACCACTCGACAGCCCGCCGTCCTGCAGCATAAGTCCCGCGAACGCTTCGGCCTGCTTCAGCATCTCCTTGGTCGATGGAAAGGACACATTCCCCATGGCTGTCGCATCCATCCGTGCCGAGGGCCTGATTGACGATGTGGACACTCAGCTGCGATACGAGTTCGGTGTGGGCGACCCGACAACTGGCACTTTGCAGCAGCTTGGAACGGCGTCCTCGGCTTCGATTGTAGGCCTGCGCAACGGCACCAACCAGCTATACGGCTGCGCGATCGACAGTGCGGGCTCTCGTACCTGCGGCACAGGCTATGTGGAGGTCAACCCGCCCGGGGCGAGCTTCAATGCGAGCAACGCGCTGTCATCCGTGGACATGGATTCGCTGGTGTCGGTGAGTTTTGCGTGCGGTGATAATAGTGACGGTGATTATGGTGATGGCAATGGTGACGAGATGGCTTTCCGGTGCTGAAACACGATAGGAGCCATAGCCGCCAGTAACGAACTCTCAGTCGCTCCAGAGCTCCCAGAGCCTTACGACCCTCGCAGCATGCCAAGCAGTTTGCCCTGGCTAAGGGACCGGCCTGCTGTCTATTGACTGCAGGGCAACGACCAGGGAGCTATGCTGCAGGCGGCCGCGCAGATGTCCCTCCTGCTGGAGATGGTTGCGTCGGGCAACGGCGGCAATGGCAGCAGTGATAGCGGTGCCCTGGGGGGGATGATCGCGGCCAAGAGCGAGAAGCTGCTGACGGGACTCATGTCCAACGTCGCCAACATGGACGGTGACCAGGTACGTGTGTGTCCCTTTGCGGTCCGTACGGAAATGTATGGGCTTGTACGTGTAACCTGGAAGTTAATGGAAGTGCTTGCCAAGTGGGCATTTTGTATGCAAATCGTAGCACCTCAGGTCATGTCCTAATTAGGCCCATGTGATGTACGCGATCGGTCTTTGTTCTTGTCACACATTGTCAAGCGATGCCCTGGTGCTATATCCATTTTACTTGACCGCGCGTGCCCTACTTTAACAGTCCTTAACAAGGTGCGGTGCGCACATGGAGGGCATGTCCTAATTTTTAGGCATGTCTTAATTAGGCGCGACAACTAGGTTGGTTAGTTGGTACCCTTCCACGACGATATATCGGCCGGAGCTGTAGGCATCTTCAAAACTCATTAACCAAAACAATGGCGCACAAACAATAAGTCGCTGCATGCACAAGCAAGAAGAAAGCTAATCACTTGTGTTTGTAAAAAGTTACAGGCGAATTTGCACGCCGTATTTTTCGCTTATGAGTTACCCGAATTCCGCTTTAGTATACCTGTAATGCATTAGGGTGCGATTCCGGAAACTTCTCATAAGTCGCAGTCGCAAAGAACAGGGATTCTCTAAGCTGACTGCCTTATAATTAGGCTCTTTGTTCCGTGCATGCAGCGACTTTAAAATAGTCGTGCGAAACCTTGCGAAACAGCGCAGCTCCTTAGAAAGCGCTTACCTCCCATTCATCCCTCATTCAACCCACAAGGGCGTCCAGTTAAGTGAAACCGCTCCATATAAACACCCATGTCCACAGGCCAAGCAAGTTGCCTCCGCGTTGTCCAACATGGCCAAGAGCACCGGCAGCGCGCTGCCCGAGTCCAGCAAGGCGAAGTTCGCCAGCGCTTCCCGCGACCTGGTGGACGCCGCCGTCGGCTCCACATCCGCACCCAAGCCTGTGGACTCGGGCTTTTGCGCCAAGATCTGCATCATGTTCGGCCTCGCCAGGCCCAGGTCTTTCTTGAGTATCATCGCCGGGCGGCATCTGCTCCAGGACACAGAACAGCAGAAGACCTGGCTGCATGGCACGCTGTCCACATCAAAAAAGATGGCTGCCGGCTTGGCGTCACAAGCCATCCCTGGAGGTGACAGCGTCAGCTCTGGCGGAAACGACGTGTTCGTCACTGTGGGTGGCGTCCAGGTCATGGACAGCGATGGCACGGCCACCGCCACCACCAGTATCACTGCCGGCCCTCCGGTGGCGGCGAACACCTCCAGGCGACTGCTGACAAGCAGGCGGCTGCATTCGGTACGTGTCCTGCAACAGGCTTCCGCTGGGGCCACCTCCGCCAGCGCCACTTTATACCTGGCGGGGTCTGTAGCTACCGGAGCCGAAGGCTACACCCTCAGCCTCACCTACCTCCCCACATCCTCCGCCACTGTGGTGGGTGCCCTCGGCTCAAACCTGCCGTCTACGGTGGCGTTGCGCAGCGGTATTGCACAGCTGGACTGGGCGGCGGCCTCCAGCGCCGCCGCCGCCTCGCCGCCGGCACTCGGCGGTGCCAACAGCATCTCACTGGCTATCCCAACTACCAGTTACGATGCCACCAAGATCGGCACGTGCCTGCTGTACGACACGACTACGGCCACCCTTACTGGCGGCCTCACCGGCTTATCCCCCGGTGCAGCTCCGGCGGCCTTTACGTCGTACGACAGCGCGACCGGCCTCGTGACGTGCAACGTCACTGCCGTGGGCGCCTACGTGGTGGCTCAGGGCCCGGAATCCATAATCCCGCCCCCACCCCCCGCCATCATCCAGGCTGCCACCGTGCCGGCGCCCGGCGGCAAGGAGGGGCTCAGCAGCGGCGCGGTCGCGGGCATCGTCATTGGCTCTGTGGTGGGCACCTTGCTGATAGTCGCCCTGGTAGCCGTACTTCTCATCAGACGCCGCCAGCAGCAGCACGTGGCCGCAGCGCCCAAGCCAGTAACGGCATCTTCGTCACGCGGGCGGGATCCCGTTGGCCCCGTAGCGGAGGCGTGGCAGCCCACAGCGCAGCCGGTGGCGGGGTCCGGCAGCGCCGCGCCTGGGCCATCAGGTGCAGCCGCTGACGACGCTGCCAACGCTGCTGACTTCAATCCGAGCGGCGACAGCGGCGATGGTGGCTCAGTGATGCAGCCGGTGGGTGGCAGCCTGAACCCCCCTGGCTGGCAGCCCCTGTCCGCGGAGGCCGATCTGCCCAACGCCCCCGGGTCGCTTCGGGTCTGATCTCCTGAACCCCCCGAGGAACCGGCTGGGAAGGGGCCCAGCCGAGGTTCGCCCCACGCGGGTCGGAAGCCGTGTGCACAAGTATTCGCACAGATCTGCATATTCAGATAAGAAGTATAGACGACAAGGAACCACAAGACATGCAGCTGCGGTGCACCCTACCCCATCCCATCCCCTACGGCTGGAGGCGACCGTGAGCCGCGTCGCGTTAAACAAGTTACTGGGGGTCGGTGCGGCCCTGGCTGCAGCCCTGTGGGAGATAAGAGTTGATTGGTGTCGTTGATGGGGGTTCCTTTTGAGGTTCCGGAGCAAGCGGACCAAGTTGAGCCTCCCGGGTTGGGGTTGAGGTTGGGGTTGGTGTGCGAGTGAAACGTGATCGGCATTTGCGGGTAAGGATGAGTGAGGGAGGGCGCGGGTGAGGGATGCGCGCGTGAGGGTGGAAGAGTGCGAGTTGACTGAAGGGCATACGGCCTTGTGCAGGCGGTCCATGTGTGCGGACTTGTGTGGCTGCAGCCGGAAGAGGGGAAGGTCCTGTGGAGTGGGGCGCTACGCAGAACACGCTGCAGCCCTTCCTCCTGGGATCATTTCAAGCAGTGAGTTGCCACATGATGACGTTCAGGCTTATTTGTCCCGTGTTCCATTTGTTGATATGGGATGAAATCTATTACCGTGGGATTGGAAAGGTTGGTCGGTCCATGGCCTCACTGCGGGGCATTGGAAGTGTGGCTGAGGCTTAGGGTTCCCGGAGCGTCGTCCCACAGCGTGCTTAGAGCGGATCCAGGTCTGAAGGCAGCGTTGGTGCAGGCATTCAGGTGTGTGACCTTGCTGCGAAGCCAGCAGGTAAGTAAGCTGGTAGTCACGTGCGGTGGTTGGGTGCAGCTAACGGTTGGCAGATGTGCACGTGGGGGCGGTGGGGTTGGCCGGAGCCATGACCGGCGCCCCCTCTGTAGCTCATGTGCCCGCGATGTGATGGGCACAAGCAGCTGCTGAGCAGCAGTTTGTATTAAGAGTTGCGCCAGGAGATGGTTGTATCTCCTTGGTGTGAACCCCTGCAATGGGTTGTTTGTTTGGGTGGGAAGTACGGTATCATTTCCCAAGGAATCAACACCGCCAGCCCATCACGTTTTGGCGTGATTTGCGGCAGCGGCGCAACGTAAGAAGATGTGATCACATCATGATGAACACTCGACAAATAACATCATGCATCATGAATATTCCTTAATAATATTTGGCCAGCTATGGCACCCGTACCCGTACGCCGTAGCTAGGTTCGCTGGTCAGGTACGAGACAGCTGTATTTTAGTCGCGCATTGCTTTTTGTGGGTCGTACGCATTGCGTGGCATCGCGTGGCAACTTCTCTTGATGCGAGCACCGCTCTGCATGTGCATGTATCTCGTGGGAAGGTGTTTTCGGAGCCCAATACCTAGAACGTAAATACGACCCTCTGGATGCATCGGGCCTTGAGCTTTGGTGGGTATGGGCCATCCGCTTCGGCAACCCAAATCGCACCAAGGCCACCACCTCGAAACCATCTCTCGCACCTTGAACACTCCAGAAACACCCTGATCGCCACCCAGGGTGAATGGTCGTACATCTTCGTCTTCTCACAACTGCCACCGTACGGCACGGCTGTCCTGTGCACACCAGCGGTGCGCGTCGCTCGCGTGTCCTGAGTTATTTAGGCGTTCATATTCAAGTCCCATTCAGGCACGTTCTGTGCAGGAACATGGTGCAGGCGTGGGGGCATAGGAAATCCTTTCGGTGGGGCGGGTTGCGCCTCCTTATCTCTTACTGCGCGATTACACTCGTGCGCAACTGCCCGACTCCCTTTGAGGAGAGAGACCTCGTGCTCGTCTCGTGCTCATGCAGTTTCGGTTCGGTCCTTGCCACCACGTGCTAAGCGTTCGCCCGCCTCTACTAATGCGCTAGGTGTGCTGTCGTACTTCTAAGGGCTTATTGTGTGTATGTGTTGAGCGTGCTTGCATATGCATAGCATATCGCAAATAAGAGTGAGCAATTGAAGCGACTTACCGAAGCGTTGAGGCAATAAGAACGCCAGAGGCGGGCAAATGCATGTGCAACTGCTGTGGCCGCGCAGGTTGTTAGCATACACGCATATGTATGTCACGGCGAATACGCCGACGTGTTCAACTTTGCAAGTCGGAAGCGGTGACGATGTCTTCCGTGTCGACACCGTTTCTTATGCGCCGACCTTCCCCCTACCTCTAAGGTTGGGATACTGTCGGCACTTATTACCGGCCAGCGCCAGGAGAACCAACTTTTAATACGTTGCGGGCCGCTCCAAGTCATTTTATGTTTGTGACGGAAGTGACTTTAGTGGGTGGTTTGGTGTTCACCTCTGTTGTAGCAGTGGCAATCGGATTCCCGAGACGGCCCGTGCAACGAAACCATGCTACCGCCTTGCATGCGTCCCCCTTAGCCCCTAAATCCCCACATCTTCACTTGAATCCAGCTCACAGCTTTTCCACCGTAACCTCTCCGTGATGTGGTGCTGCTCCAGAGCGTTTTAGGCTTTTCTGCTGTTTTTTGAGGTCGCCCTGATTCGGGGTTGGGTCCAATCCTCGCACGGAGGGCTTGCGGTTGTTCGTTGTTGTGACGGCGGAGCGTCACAACGCGTAGGACAGATCGCGTCTTTTCATGTACTTTTCATGTACTAGTCTGGACGATGATGAACGGCCGGCCGTGTTCTTGCCTGCCCTCCAGCGCTGACGTCTGGACGCGGTACTGGCAGCTGTGGGCAATCATAGCGCTCGAATACCGCCTGGACTGGCAACACAGGGAGACTGCTAGGCGGCCCCCGTACTGATAAGTCCTATATTAGGTGACAATGTTTTGACATATTGAAGTTAATAAGTTTTGCTCCCATGTAAACGTAGTACTGCATGCTAGGTCCACCCGCGCAAGCGTGTGCCCGGTGCGTCTCTCCTGTCTCTTCCAAAGGCGCGAAGAATGCCGGCGATGTTAGCCTGCGTACGAAGCGCGACACCTGCGCGTGACATGATATTGGTGCGCGGCAAATTGGTGCGCGGCAAGTTGAACGATACGTCGGCAGTCAGCTTCACCACCGCTGCGTCCGATCGTAAGCAATTCGCGTCCGATGCAAGCTTCGGCCTTGACGCCTGTGTGTGCTCTGCTTTCCTGGCCTACCTGCTTTTACGGCCACCTGACCGATATGGCCAAAGAGTTCAGCACCTATGGGGACAAACTCCAGGACTAGCAGCAGATCAAGGTGACTGGCACAACCACGCCAATCAATTTCCGTTGCCGTACAAAGTGGCTTAAAACCCCGCTCCCCTATCCAGTGGGTTTTAAAAGGCGTATGTACGGCAACGCGCTCTTGGTTAACGAACGCGACGGTCTAGGCAGGAACAACTAAGTCCTGATCGGGGCATGTATAGCGGGCATGTATCCGAGCCCCATGAGTTAGCGACCGACCAGTTCTGCCTGGACGGAATCAAACGTCTGTCAAGCTACTCCATACCAAAGTTGCCTGTGCAGTATGGGCAAAGTTTATATGGATACATAAGTTGACCATATTTACACTAATAGGATTCTGGAACAAGACAAGCATGAGAAGTTGACCTTCTCGCTTTATCAATCTTTCTTCCAATAAGCAGCGAAGATGGAGAGTGGGGAAGACTATGCTAAGCGATCAGAGCGTGTCAAGGCCCTGCTTTCGAGCTACTATGGAGACGCCGGCCCAGGGTCTTCAGCTCCTGGTGCTCCTGCCCAGCAAGGAGCACCTGCTGGAAGAGGCCCGTCCGGGGTTCACATTGGCGGCCTTGCAGCCATTGACACTCCCACCTTCAACGCCGATCAGCACACATCGGACATCCTTCGCATCTTTTCCTTGGAAAAGCTAATGGTCGAGCATCGCAATATGGCCCGTGAAATAAAAAACATTGATTCGGATATGCAGCAACTTGTTTACGAAAACTACAACAAGTTTATCACTGCGACGGATACTATCCGCACAATGAAGTCAAGTATCGACTCAATGGAGGGGGAAATGCAGCGACTTCAGCAGACAGCAAGTAAGGAATGACGCGGCATTACAGGGGTTTGCGGGGACGCTGCGTGGGCAGCCGAGCGTCCAGGCGGTCGCTGGATACACACCAGCCCCTCCACATGCCACCATTCCGCAACATGCTAGCATCTCCTGCGCAACCCGCTTCGCAAGAACTAAGCCCTTTCCTCGGGACAGGTCTCAGTGCTGTCACCTCAGCGACACACCTTTCACCCCCTTCTGCCTTGTCCTGTGGCACTTTGCATCTGCCTCATGCCCGTACCGTCGCGTCGTATCTGTCACCACCACTCCCTCGCGCCATCGAACCCCACACAGGCGTTGTGGCAGAAAAGTCGCTTTCTGTCAGCAACAAACTGCAGCAGCGGCGAGAGAGCATGGAGCAGCTGTACAAGGTGCAGCGGCTGCTTCGCAAGCTGCAGGTGTGATAGTATCCTTCACCACCTACCTCAGGTGACGTTGTCTCTGAACGTTGCCTGATGTCTGCCCCCATCCCGGATCGAGACGAGGGATCCGCTCATGCCTGCTCCGCTGTATGCTGGCACATATTACAGCTACACCGCGTACTCCCGTCATCCAGCGGCCATACTACCCAAATACAGCTGATATACATGCCTAGGGTTCGCCCCCTAAACAACAACCACCCGCGTACATTCGTGCCCCGGTCAACGGCACCGGCCAAGGCATTTTTGCACCTTACTTACGCGTTCCTGTAGACGGTATTCGAGCTGCCCCGCAAGATGCGAGCCGCCTTGGAGGAAGATGCGCTAGACACGGCGGTGGGGCTGTATGCGGAGGCGCAGCCGCTACTGCACAAGTACGGCGGCAGGGGCACCTTCAAGGTGATCGCACTGGAGAGCGACTTTGTGGCGCAGGAGATCTCGCAGGTGGGTGGGGATGGAAAATACAGGACGGCTGCCGGACGCGGAATTCAGTATCTCCTCTGGTGCACATGCGACGGTGGGAACGGGGGTGGCTAGATCCTTGGGTGGCCGGTGGCATGGATGTGCGGACGAGTGGATGGCTGTGTGGGCTGATGTGTGGACGGGTGGCGTGTGGTCGGGCGGGCACGCTAGTTAGTAACTCGGTGGCATCGGGACGCAGGTGGGCGCGGATGCAGACGCATCCGACGGCTCAGATGGAGGTCTCGCTGGGCATCGGAGATCTACCGCACTTCCCCGGACGACCGCCTTACCGTACCCCCATGCAACACTCCTTTCCCTCGGTGCCCGCAGCTGCTGAAGAAGCGGCTCACGGAGCGGAAGGATGACGCAGAGCAGTGTGTGCTGCTGCTGCGCAAACTGGGAGAGCCGGATGATACACTGCAGGTGCGTGTGCAATCCTGCGCGTGAACATACTCGTGGTAGCGCCTCGAAGGGATTCACGGACGGGGCCCGGGTTTGGCCACCACAGCGCCATATCCAAGGCCGCGTTGAGGCTTGGCCGCTGCATCTGCCCCACCCAAGGGCCTGCCTTATTCCCCGTGAGAAATCCGGCTCCTTGCCCTGAGCACGGCCTCGTCTCGATGTGCACCCACACCGACATGTTATCCTGCAAATGTGGGTAATCTGCGGGGCTTGCAATCCACTGCAGGACAAGTACCTTTCTGGCCGGGTGGCGCGCATCAAGCGGGTGCTGACGGAGGCAGCCATGGTGGCGGACGCTATGGCGGCAGCGGCGGCGGCCAGCGCAGGCGGCCAGCAGCAGCTAGTTCCACCACCGCCCAAAGCCCAGGTGCGAATACACTGTGGTGTGTGTTTGTGTGTGGCATATGGGGTTACGATGCGCGAAAGTGTCTGGGATGCGATGGAGAGCTCGGTTGCCGCGCTCCTTAACAGCGTACCCCCGCGCTGCTACCCCTCCGTCGAAGCGGTCCTGGTGGGTGCGTGTGGTGCCGTGCGTGCGCGTGACAGCAGATATCGCCCTGGTGCCGTGTGGGGCAACAGCGGGTGTTCCGTGTTTCGAGCACTCTCCTATGTGCTCTCGTGGTCAGTGTCCATTTCCCTTCCCCGGTCTCCTGTGCCCTATGGGGGCTGACCTCTTGCCCTTTGCGGAATGTTTGGTGTGGCCCCGTCCCGCAGTTACCTGCCCCAGAGTCTTGGGGTTGGACTGGCGGTAATCCACCGCAGCTGCGTGCCTTCGTTCGGGCGCTGGATGAGAAGTTCATCAATGGAGTGCAGGTGGGCACAGCGATGGTGCAGTCTAGATGGCCACGGGGACAGGAACCCCCGCCTGTCAAAGGGCCGTCTGCAGCGGACGATGGGGTCGCTGCCGTGCGAGATGGGTTTTGGCACTGAGTTATGTTGGGAGAAGGGCGGGGATATGCTGCTTCTATAGGTACGCGGCGAGCCGCCTTGAAGGTGTTGAGTGGTGCTGGAGCCGCTGCTGAACTTAACCCGGTGGTGTTCATGTCCCGCAGGAAACCGTCGTCAACGTGATTCGATTCTTCCTGCCGGAGGGATCCGAGGACAGCCCTGAGGTGCGTGTCAGTGCTTTCACTGCAACCTGCCTTCGTAGGCATGTCAGGAGTAGAGGTGTCCGCTGGCCCTTGGGATTCTGAGTCCGGAGGCCAGGTGGTCTTCGGCCTGCTCCCTGTGTTAGGTCCAAAGGCTACACACGCAACGAATTGGATAGGCCCTGTCGCCTGGAGAATGCAATTATTTTTTGTAACTGTGCTGGGAAGCAGGAACGGGAGCTGTTTTAGGGGCATGGGATCGCATTTTGGCAATATAACCGTTGCCTGGGACTGCAGCGGACGCCAGTCCTCGTTGCCATGGTGCATTTCTTGGCTTATTCACTTTGATGATTTAGATGCACGGTCACGGGTGTCCGCGTGCGAACCGACACCTTCCAACTCTCTGCTTATCCACCCACATGCACACTTGACCTGCTGGCCTGCCGCTGCCGGCCGGTCTCGCCCCGTTGGACCATGTCAACTCTTGACTTCCTAGGCTGCCGCTGCCAAGCGCAAGCCCTTGGTGACCCTCTCCCGGGAGCTATTCGCCGAGTATTTCGGGATTGTAAGGTGAGTAATTGGGGAGTTAATGGGGTGGGTAGGCCTGCCCCAGACACAATCGCCTTTTTGGGTCGTGGCTCCGTTCGGCAGCTGGAACTGCCGGTCCGCTTTCCATGCTTCTCTCCCAGGATTCGGAACTTGAGCGCACCGCTTCGCGTTGAGATTCTTCGCATTATTGACCGACAGCGTGCTGCGGCCTGAACTCCTGAACACATCTATCCGTCGTGTCGGCAGTTGCGCGGGCGCGTCTGGCCAAGGGCTCCCTTGGGCCCCTGACCCGGACCGAAGCAGCATAGGTGTGACTCCGTAACGGACTTGACTTGATGTATGTAACTTGACCGGCGGCTCTCCCCTGTCTTCACGCCCTCCCTTCGGCCTCTGGCCATGTCACCAGGCGTGTGGTGACAGACGCGGCCAAGGCCGGGGTACTGCGTGGATCGCTTCTGCGGGAGGCGCGGGCGGAGGCGGGCAAGGCGGGCAGCAGCGCCGTGCTGTCCGTCAGCTCGTCGGCACTGCAGCAGCTCAGCAGTGACTGGGGGGCGGAGGCCATTGCTCTGGCTCTGTCCACGATGTCCACTGATGTAGGGCTGCTGGCTACGCATCTGCCAGAGCTGCAGCTCAAGGAGCGGGCGCTGGAGGTGGTGCAGGTGGGGCGGGATGCGGCCTAAGGGAAACTGATGGGTCTCACCATTTGCAAATGGTAAGATGCGGTTGTGCGGTCTTGCGGGGCGGGGTAAAACGGGACACTAAAGGTTATGCATGGAGCTTTTATTGCCGCAGGTCCGAAAATTGTCGGTGCATACCGTGGCAACCTTAACAATATCCTGCCCGCGTTTTCTAACCTCCCGCCGGTCCTCCCGGGTCGCGGCCGGGCCTGTCTCTTCTCCCGCCCCGAGACAGGCTGCCATCCAGCAGCACGTAACCTTGTCGTTTGCAGCGTTGAAGCAGCGTGTCATTGACGCGGCGGTGGCGGTGCGTACAGCGCTGGGGGCGGAGAGCGCCGAGGGAGTTGCCGGTGTCGCTGGTATTAGCTCGGCCAGCAGCGGAGGTTCCGGTCCAGGGTCCATTTTACGGCAGGGCAGTGCGTACCTCGTGGAGTTGCTGCAGCGGGGTCTGGCCGTGCTACTGCAGGTGCGGAGCTTGGGGCGCTTGGGAGTCAGGGGCAATGAAGGGCCCCTTGGGGCCCGGTTAGGGCGGTTAAAGGGAGGGACGTGCACAGAGTTGAGCCCTGCGGCCCAGGCTGTGTTCAGAGGAAAGGATCCTCGGCCAGGCAATGAAACAGGGAAAATGTTGTTGCAGGTCAGCATTGCCATGACGACGCTGTACGTGCAACAGCGGCTCTACCCGGGCAAGCGACGCGGTTGTCCTCCCCAGCGCAACTTTTTCCCTTCATCCTTGAGGCTGGTAGAGGCTTATGTCAACGCCCTTCTGGTCTTCTGAACCTCAGGGCCCTCCTATCTTCATACTTTGCCTATGCGTTCTTTGTTAGGGTCTTCGCGGTTACGAATCTGCGGGCGGCTCCCGGCTGCTGGCCTCGTGGCGTGACCAGTGGGTGGACCTGGTCCAGGGGGGCCTGCAGAGCTTCTTCGGGGGCCTGCTCCTGGCTTCCCTTGAGCTTGCGGCGCTCAGGTAGGCAAGCGCGACGGGGGAACAGACCTGAGAGAAACGGACGAACGTGACGCGGGACCTTACAATGGGAGCAATGGAAACAAGGCAAATCCGAATAAAAATGGCACTGCTGATTCGGCAGGGCCCTATTACCCATCCTTAACTCGTGATTCGGGAGAGCAGCAAAATATGGACGACATAGGTACTTGTTCCTGTGGCGTCTGGTGGCGTCCAGTGGCCACGCTCGCCCACATGTTGTGCATGACACACAGTCTGCGACTCCCAACCGGAAAGCCTGCAATGCTGCCGCAAGCTCTACAATCCGCAGCACTCACAGCATTGCTCCTCCCCAATATGCACGTCAGGTACGACGGCGGCGACCTTATGCGGGAAGCGCTGAAGGCGAGTGGCGCAGCAGGGGTTGGTTTGGCGGGCCCCGGTGGCGGCGGTCCCGACCTGATGGGCCCACCCCCGGGGGCCGGTGGAGGCGCGGCATGTGCGGCACAGGAGCTAGTCAAGCCAGGTAAGGGAGGGACCGGGTTTCAGAGGCCCATGAACAGCACCGAACACATGTGTGGCGTTGCATTGAGGGACATTTTGCTCTGGATTGCGCTGGTTTCCCATCAGATTTTGTTTGCATCGGGATTTGGCTGTGTAGCTTCCTGAAGGCTGTTTGGTCCGGTACACGTTTGGGGTGGCACGGAAGGGGCCTGACATACGTGTGGCTGCACCTTCAGGCTACATCAGCATGCCGGTAATGCGGATTGCGTTGTCCAATCAGTGCGCTGAATCGTGCCCCTCCCAATTCCGCCTCATAACTGCAGGGCTGGTGCTGCTGCTGGCCAAGCTGTGCAAGTTTCTGGAACAGGTTATGGTACCATGGGTCATGGAAACTATTGCGGCGTCGTTCGCTAGCGCTGGGGGCCCTGGCGGCGGTGGCGGCGGCGGTGGTGGCGACCTGCCACCGTCCTTTGTACCTGGCGAGGTAAGGAGCGTTTAAGGCCACGATGCTCTCTCCTCGAATGCTTTTTCCTTCATTCCACACAGGACGGCACCACTGCATGCATACGATGAGACGCATGCCAGCGTGCACGCGCAGTGCGGTGCAGCGCCAGTTTCAGGACCTCAGCGTCCGCCTCCATGGCCCTGCGCGAATCTACACATTACACCTTATGGGCCTCCAACGACGCCTTACTCTCATAATAACAGTTGACTTACACGGCGCGCACTTAGCCGTTCTTATTAACCCTTGCTTCCACGATCTCCGATATTCTACCTCCCAGGACTCACCCTGTTCCTCCGGTCCCGCTGCTTTCCGTTAGGTGGCCCGGCGGCTGTCCGCCGCCTCTTCCGCCATGGTACTGGCATATGCGGAGATGCACGGAAGGCAGCTCAGCGTCATGGTCCGCAGGTGGGTTGGTGGGTTGCACCGGGGACCAGGGGGAAAGGGAGGAGCACCGGCGGATGGGAGCTCAACTTCGCCCAAAGCCCATAGCGTGCGCGCAGCTGTGCACATCTCAAGAGCGCGTTAGGCGGCGTCTTCCATTTTACTGCCGACCAGGAGGTAAGGTGGCGGCGGCTTCAGCACTCTCCGTGCTGAAAACCTCGCTGCATCGTGCCATACTATCGGCACCTAGCCCAGCTCACCGCCCTGAGTTCCTGCCTCGTAGGTCCACCGCCTCCGTGAGCTGGATGACGTGTAAGGAGCCTCGGGGTCCCCGGCCCGTATGCTCGCTGCTGCTGGAACGGCTTTCCCGGGTGGAGGCGGAGGCGGCGGGGCTACTGGACGAGCCGGGGGTCGATCTGGGGCCATCAGGACATGGAGCGGGACGCGCGGGTGAGAGGAGGGGATGGAGAGGGGACTGGAGCCCGGGGTGTGAATGGCAAGCAATCGGTACTAGTTGCTCCGTTGGTTGCTTCCTGGGCCGGGGGAATACGTACCAAGTCGCGTAAGGGACGGTGGGGCACCACAGCCCTTTGCAAATGTCCGCCGCCTTAATTGTGGACTTGCCTGGCTGCCTTAGTGTCTTTGTCCAGCAGCTTGTTAGAGCGACGGCGTGCTTTGCCCATGTTTGCGGACCCAGCAGACATGGACACCTAGACCTGGTCTCTGCAACAGCGCCAGGTATCCACGCCACATCATGGCGGTGCACGTTGTTTCGTGGCCCACCATAAGTCTGCGTGGCGGAGGTTATCCGCTTTATCCCTCGGGCTCAGTCTATCCTTGTGCGTCCTTACCGACAGACAGACACGCATACATACACACACTCGGGTTACAGTGTCCCCCAACCCCCACCCAACTGCCCCGCTCGGGGGTAATAATGCAGACCATCGGGATCCGGTGGTCGCCGGAGCTGGTGCATTGTACGGCAGCAGCAGTGCATTTGCCGGTGGTGACTCCAGCGCCGTGGAACGTAACGTGGCCAAGCTGTTCCGGGAGAAGGTGCAGCGGGCAGGCTGGGAATGGAGGAGGGGATGATTACGAGTCGCGGAGGGGCTGTGGTTAAAGAGGGACAGGGAAACACTTCTCGTTGCTACGGCAGCCTTGCGTATTAAATTTTTAGCGTCCAGTATAGGCAACACGTTGAGTGCGGTACAAGCAGCACGTGCTGCATCCGCGGGGTCCATTACCTGGGATACTTGATGCTCACGTGACACATGCGCCAGCCCTTCTATGAAAGGTCCCTTCAATGTTTAACCTCTTTCATATTAGCACTCGTCGTGTGTTTTGTCCCTTACATGCTATTGCTTGTAGTTCCGAGGGCCTCCGTGCCCTTTCCGTGACTCATCCACCACCCGACGTTTTCCCCCTTTCCCGCCCCCTGGGCCCTGCCAGGTGCACATGACGGGCTCTGTGCCGCTATCCTCTCCGGCCATCTTGGCCGCGATTGCCAGCGTGGCGCTCAAGAGCTTGCTTGAGAGCATCCGCCTTGAGGTGCGGCGGGAGTTGACACCAGGGTCTGGTGGCACTGAGCAAGGATGAAAAGAGGACCCGCTATAGGTGTGGCGCCGCATGCGGCCAGCAGCCCCCTCATGGCCAAACCCGTGTATGCCGTCTCGAAGTCCGGTGCACATACTAATGCCGGTTGTGCCTTCCCCGGGTGCGACTCGTTCAGACTCTGGGCCGCGCCGGTCTGCAACAGCTGCAGCTGGACGTGGCCTCCCTACGTCCGCAGCTGCGCCGCTTTTTGTTGCGGGGTGGCGGTGGCAAGGGCGACGGTGCTGCTGTGGTGGAGCAGCTGCTGGAGGATGTGGTGCTATCGGGTGGGTACCTGCCAATCCGCCTGTCCTGCGTTACCAGAAGAATAGCAGCAGGGAGGGGCATCGGAAAAGGGGGCCTCTCCGATGAAGGCGTTCGGTTTAGAGGAGTTTCCGCTGCAATCTGGCGCCTCCATGACTTGGACAGCTTCCTTGCTCCTGTCTACTTCCAATGCCTGAACCCGACTCCAAGTCTCTCATCCCTTTGGTCCCCCCCTCCTGCACTTCCTACCCCCGCCTCCACCTGCCCAGCCACGGAGCGTTGCGTGGAGCCGCAGCTGTTGGAGGCGGCGGTGGTGGAGCGCATCTTGGCGAGCACATCCTCGGAGCGGTAGCAAGCGTCAGGCCGGGACCAGCCATCGGCACAAGTTGAGGGCTCGAAGAGGCGGGGGCCGCGCTATGAGCCGCCGAGGAGCCGAGTCGCGGTGGCTATAATTGTGAGTCGGGGGGACGCTAGGTTTGAGTGGCAATGCTGCTGATGTGATTTAGGAAGCGTTGACGGTAATGCTTTAAAGGAGGCAGTTACGCGGACTTGGATATGCATCAGCAGAGGGCTGCAAAGGCCGAGGTAGGAACCTGGATCGGAGGTGATGCTGGGCCTGGCTTTGTTTGGGAAGCACACGCAGGACTGCCGTGGCCACTGGAGAGTTCTGGACGGAGATGTCGATTTCACCACCCCGGCTGGATGAAAGGGCATCACGAGATTATCAAGTTATTAGTCGTGCAGTCTGGGAAGGACTTTACGGTCGCAACTTACAACGCGACAACGCGTTTTGGGTGGCATGCTGTATAAAGTCAACCTTCCAAGTGCTGGATAGTGCTGCCAGCGCGGGGTTAAGTGCTCCGTACTGTACGGGCTGACATGGGTGATGGTGTGAGTGTGGCTGGAGCGTGGTAAGGAAGCGTGAGACAGTAAGCACGTATGGGGTTTGCCCGACCTCATTCTCAAACTACAGTGCTCTGCACGTGGAGTTATCTACGTTAGGTGTTGTCAACTGGTACATGCTTCTTCGCCTGTATAATGGGGTTATATCCGACGCTGTGACGCATATCTGTTCTAAAAGAGAGGTTGTACGGAGCTGACGACAGCTGAATCATCTGAATCATCTAGGCCGTTTTCAAGTGGAAATTCATAATATAAAGGTTTATGTAAGAGGTTTTGATCGTGTCGTCGGTCAAAACGAACATTGAGTTATGGAACCTGCGATAGAGAATAAACATTCTGCACCTGGTTTAGATGACATAAAACTTCAGCTGCTTCAGTTGCAGTGCATAATAGATGCAAAAGATCGTGAGATACAGTTGCTAAGGAAACAGCTTTCCAGCCCAGAGGTGCGTCGCATCGTGGTGTGGTGATATAGTAACAGGTCAGCAACGCCACCGACTTGGCCGCCCGTGCTTAATCAGGAGTCCGATGGAGCAGCTTCTCTTCACGCGGAGATCACAAAATTGCGTGCAGAGGTTCAGCGACTGAAGCTTGAAAAGAATGCAGTGCATGCACAACCGCCGGTCACGGTACCCAGAAGGCCCAGCGCTGCCGTTCCCAAGGGCAAGTCAATCCTTAATGTACCTTCTAGCATTAAAGATTCCAAACCAAGTTCCAGCGGGTGCTGCGGCATCTCGACCAGTAATGGATAGCCGTGTTTTGGGGTGTCGCCAATCAGCCGCATCATTTCATAGCCACGTGGGTGCTTACATCGGGCCGCTGTGTGTCCCTATTACACCCAATCCTCATGCCTTGAGGTTCCACTCTCGTCCGGCCCTGTGCTCGTACCCTCGGTGCTATCCACATGTGGCGCTATGTCTATCGCATTACTATCAGACGAGCTGCCTGCGGCGTACCAAAATCGGGAGGCGGTGTCGCCCGGGCCCAGTGGCCATGCAACCACCAACCCTCTTCCCGCAAGCGCTGGCGGTGTCCCCGCTCCTGTGGCATTGTCGGATAGCAAGGTATTTGCGATATGCCCATGTGGGCGGGTGCTTCATTAACGATTATGTAAACTGTCGCAACAATCCGCTGTGTGTTCCATTGTAGTTAATCCCCTCCTATTGGATGGGAGTTGTAGCTACTTGCCGCTTGGCTGTATCCAGGCGCCGTTCATCCCTCGGCTGCTCCCTGTCAGCCCAACCTGTAACATCGCAAAAATCCCACGTCCCCCATCTCCCGCAGCTGCACCCGGTCAGCCCCACTTCCGGTATGACTGTGGACCCAGCCGCTCTTGTTGAGAAGTTGAGGGCCGTTGTTAATGGCTTGGTGGCAGAGGCGCTCGCGTCACAGCTGCGTGCCGTAGGTCTATCGCCTCCGGGGCCTTTCTTCCCTCCACAAGCACAGCCACAGCCGCAGCAGGCCCAGGTGTCTCCAAGGGCTGGAACCATAGGCTCGCCATTTGGGGTTGGGCAAGCTAAGTCGTCTGCACATCAGGCCTCTGGGGCTTGCCCACCAGCGCGCCCAGCCGAGCAGTACACGACGATTGCGCCGTCGCTGCCAACTGCGGCAGCGCCCCCTCCGCCGTCGCAGCCTTCTCCCGTTACCTCGCCGGGCGCCATGCGTCTGGCTTTGCCGGGTGTCCAAATCGTTGTGCAGTATCCTCTGTTGGCACCGAGTAGCGCGTACCAGTCGGCACCAGCAGTGGCGGCAGGTGAGGACACAATTGCAACACACACCAGCTCCGCCGCCCATGGTCGGTGGATGTTTCCCTTCGGCACGATTGCACCGCCGCCACAGTGCAACCCCAGCGAAACGATGGATATTGCAGAGATGTGTGCCGGTACGGGGCCCGTGGAGGCGCCTTCTGTGGTGGGCGCTGGCGGTAGGACAGCAGTGGCAACGGCGGCGTCAATGGGTGGAGGCGGTGGTAGTGGTGGTGGCGGCTCGGTGCCACCAGTGTTGGAGCTGAACATTGACGGCACGGTCGTACATGTTGAACGCGCGGTGCTGGAGATGCAGGCGGCTGGTAGTCAGCTGTACCGTACGCTAATCCAGGAGTACGGCAAGTTGCCACGGGACTCCTATGGCAGGCCGTATTTATCGTACGACCCGCGCGTGTTTCAGGTGTGCTCTGTTGCCCCAGGGCGCCATCTCCCAGTGGCTGCAGCAGCAGCTGCTTTAAATCTTACACCTGAAAGGTTTAAACGTACGAGATTATCCGCACAGCAATGCACAGGAAAGTATGTCTGATGACCTCATCATGGATTCATCCAGCAAGCTCATCGACAAGTTCGCCAGGGCTCCAGCCTTCCCGCCTGATGTTCGCTGTCTTCTTAATTGTGATCCTGTTTGTCTGTCGTTCTGTCTGTGTCTTCGTGTTTATTTGCATTCGCAGGTGCTCATGGCCTACCTAAAGCAGCGGCATTTATTTGGGAGCGTGGGGGGGGAGTGGGACTGGTCACGCACCGCAAACTCTCTGGGCGTTTCGTACCACTACCTGGCGCAGGTGGGTCGGAGGGTAATCGAGTCCGGGTGGTCCGCCGAGAGATGGGCGAACAGGATGTGGAGGAGGGCTTCCGGGTGTTGTGGAATGGGGGACTTGATATAACGGCAACTAATGCAGAGGAGTGAAGTGTGGCGGAAGGCGCTGGAGAGTGCTGATGTTGACGGGTTATGTAGCGGCGCACGATGCTCGGCTGTAGGCCACCTACAGCTGCGGTTCAGTGTGCCGCTGTGCTGGACTACTTTGTCTGAAGGCTGCCTGCTAGGCCCCTATCGTGTTTGGGAAGCACGCGTCTGGTAGGCGGCCTTGGTTTGGGGTTATGCTTGCATGTCCCTGTCATGAATTCTGATGAAGGCAATAGTGCTCCCACAGTAATGCCCTGTACTAAACTGCCATGTTACAGAACCCGGGACCCACTGGTGAGCGCAGCTGCTAGTCTGTTGCCTGCTTTGTGCATACAGTACTGGCCACGAGAACTTCTCTCTCTACAATCCACATGTGCCATTAGGCTGTGCTCCCCTCTTAGCCAAAGGAGTTGGACCGGCATCCCTCACACGGCCATGTGGTGCAGTTGTCTTGTTAGGGTTGCTGCCCATGGATCCCTCCGCTCCTTAACCGCCATTTTTTCCCTCCTCCGTCACCGAAACAGATGGCGACGCACTTTGGACTGGCTGACCCACCGACCCAGCCACATCCTCACAGCGATTCGCTGCCAGTGGCCGCACAGCAGCAGGTTGGGCAGGCAACGCAAGCAAATGGCGCTACTGGAGGACCTGCCTCGCGGAACGTGCTCGTAGGTCTGCCCTGGGAGGCGATACCCAGCGTGCATGTGGGCACCTCGCTGCAGGGCATAAGCGGGTCCTGGGGTCTTGCTAGCGCGGGCTGCGACCACGGCTTGCCGCAGCTAACCAGCGTGGCTGAGCAGCCCCGGGCGCAAATGCGCAGTGGCGGTGAGAGTGGCTGCGACAGCCGGGTGCAGATGCACAGCGGGGCCGCGGAAGGACATCTGGCAGCGATGGCACCGGACGCCGGCGACGCTGCTGCTGCTGCCGCGGAGGGAGCCGGATGCAGCAACGGCAGCACGGGAGTGCATGCCAATGGGTTCACTGTCAAAGGGAATGGCATATGTAGCGGGAGCGTCCAACCAGCGGAATCTTTCGCGGCCACGTTGCCGCTTCCTCCCTCTCCGTCCTCCTGCCCGCCGGACCAACAGCAACAGCAGCAACAGCTGACGATGACCCAGCAACCCTCAAGCTCCTCGCCGTCATCTCGCATTCCACCGCCACCGCAAAAGAAACCTGCGCCTGCCGCTCCTTCTGCTGGTCCTGCCGCTGCTGCTGCTGGATTGCCGAAGTGTGATGCAGCGGTCTTGGGACCTACAAACGGGACATCGGTCGTGAGTGCAGGGACGGCCGGGTGGGTGCCGCCCTTCCCTGAAGGTGCTACCGCTGCCCCGGCGTTGCTTCGCGAACCCGTGGATGCGGCTGCAGCTGAGGCGGCGGCGATGGCGGCGGCCGCAGAGCGGTACCGGGTTCCCAATTTGTACGAGGTCTTGGCGAAAAAGCAGCGCACCGAGCTGGAGAATGAGGCCCGGGCAAGCATGTGAGAGCGGTCGCTTGGTGGCGAACCCGAAGGTTTGCTTGGTGGGGCAGGAGGAGTGGCTGATGATTTCAAGGATACTGGGTGGGCGTCTTCCTCACGTGCAGACGCTCAGGAGCTTTGTGTTGCAATGTAATGTGATGCGATGTGTGCTCGGCGAGCTATGATGTGCAGGGAAAGATGTGTTGGAATTCCGTTTCCCGTTGTTGGCATGTTAAAACTGCAAACGCAGCCAGCCAACGGGCCAAAGCCCAGCTGGTGTGCTGGATGATTTCATACCACTCATTAATAATAACTACGGACTGTCATAATTGAGGAAGGGCGGGTGCAGGTGCTTGTTCAGATCCGTGTTTCTAGGGCGTCGAGCAGGTAGTGGGGTTGGGGCTGACTGTGGGGCCGTGTTGCGGGGGAACGCATGGCGTCCGCTACTGCGGGGAGGACGGCTCAAGGTTGTGTGCGTTCTCCATGGGGGAGAGGGCAGGCTGCAGGGGGTCGGAGGTGTGGCGCCGCAATAAGGTGTAATGTTCGATAGCGCAACCTTGCCGAGACACACAGTTCGGCTTTCCATGGCCGCTGTCATTTTCCTGCTTAGCCCTGGGATATAATGATCTCCATAACAAAGTGCAGGACCGTACAGGGCCAACTGGAAAGCTCGGCAAGCACGCTTGTCAAGCGATCTCGAACCTAAGAAATATCGGATAGGCTACAGTGAGGTTTCGGGGAAAACACGTCAAGTGGATTCATGTCATGGACTTGGATCGTCTGCAAGGGCGATGGCGACGTTGGCTCGTTCCCGGTGCAGGTCCTATTGGCCGTGCCGATGATCGTACATGCTCTTGTGCCTACGCACATGACGCACATGACACGGTTTAATCATTGTTTGAGATGTGGCTTTATGAGATACAACATTGTACGGTGGTCACTTACTGCCTCGCGCCCGCGCCCGCTTGGGCCATTGTTGGGCAGCTGTTCGACGAAGCGGCTTTGGAAGTATGTGGCATTGCCCTGGACCGATCCCCCTCCATGCGCTAGGCAATTGTGGGGCAACTTGCCTGCAATTTTTTTGGGTGCTACTATAGGTGGACATGCTTGATGTATGTGCTGACGCAGCAAGGCCCTGCCTACAGCCAGCTACAGAACTCGGACAAGACGAGAGGGCCAGGAGGATAATGAGCTGGTACTGAAAATGAAAGGCCCCATAGCTGCTGAAGATAATATGGAGTGCCGGAGTTGGTGTCAGTATGCATCAGCGTTTACAAGCTGTCCTGCGCAGGTTTCGGAGTCGGTATACTTGTATTTGTTGTTTAGCCTAGACGGCTTTGTAAGCGATTGCTACATCCTATGACGATTAGGCACGTTATTAAGACATTGCACTTTTCCTCGGACATGGGCGTGACTGATTCTCTGTAATATGTTGCCTTGAAGGGGTGGTCATAAGGAATATCTAGGCAAATGGCACACGCTATCCAGCTGAACGTTAAGCGCCTACAAATTCCCCGGCTTTACACGCTACTGCGATGGCTGTTCCTGATAGTTATCGCCATCAGCACCGCGCTCGTAGGCTTCCTACAGAGTATGCTTGTCTCAAGCCTGTATGGCCTCCGGAGTCAGTTTATCTTTTCTATTGTGGTATGCTTTGTTTGTAGCAGATTTACTGCTACACCGCTAGATATTGCCTTATGCAATCAATGAGTGGAACCTTTTCCCGTTTTCCACAGCTGCTGAATGAGAATGTCTTCGTCAAATTTCTACAATACACAGCCTTTAATCTATTGTTAGCTTTCCTCTGCTGCTTCTTTATGTGGATTATCTCGCCAGCGGCGTCTGGCTCTGGTATTCCCGATGTTAAAGCTTATTTGAATGGCGTTGAGAGTCCCATATTCAAAAACTTTTTCACTCTGAAAACTTTCGTTGCGAAGGTAAGTAAAGGGCACGCCGACGGATTTTTCACGGGGTTGTGCATAGGGTTACGGTACGGTCGCGGGGCTTCTTCAAATCTTAGGATTGCGCCGTCTCCTCTCCCCTCCCAGGTCATTTCTAGCGCGCTGGCAGTGTCATCCAGCCTGGTCATGGGCAAAGAGGGACCTATGCTGCACGCCGGGTCCATTTTGGCTGTGGTTCTTGGCAGCAAGTAAGCCGGCGCAGGCGTCTTACCACGGCGTTTGCCTACGTTACCCCGAACTGCATCTCATTATGTTCCTCCGTTGCACTTACGCAGCAAATGGATGCAGCAGCAAATGGAGGTTGCCGCACACTGGGGCACATACACATACAACAAGGAGCAGCGCGACCTGGTGGCAATCGGTGCCGCTTGTGGTGTGACGACGGCTTTCAAGGCGCCGGTACGCAGAGGATGCCTCAACATTGATAACATGGGAATGAGGGCGGGAACCTTAACCAGGGTCAATGTCAATCCAATGACAAGGCCACCACGTTAGGGCCACTGTCGACAAGGCGAAGCCTCCCCAGTAAACTACCCCCTGTCCATCATAGATTTGGCGTATTGGGATTCACATAGGAAAGAAGCTGCCTGGTCGTAAACGAAGGTTTGCAGATAACAGAACCAATGGCGGTGGCCAGGCTACCCGGGACGGACATCATATCCCTGCTGAGCTGGTCGATTCTGTCCATTTAGCGTGCTGTTCTGGCTAGTACCAACAAGTATCGTCAGCGCCACTCCACACGGCCGCACCTGGGGCCCGGCGCAGGTTGGTGGCGTGCTGTTCGCCATGGAGATGTCCACTCGCTGGGGCAAGGAAATCATGTGGCGCTGCTTCCTGGCATGTGCCATCACCATCGTGGTGGTGCGTGAGGCCGTCAATATCTGCAGCACGCACGGGCACTGCAAGTCGCTGCAGTGGGGCTCCCTCATCTGGTTCAAGGTGCGGCTGAGGCTGGCAGGGTGCCCGTGCTGGCGAACGGGACACGGGCAAAAGCGAGTGATACGTTGTGCGCTGTTATCCTGGGCCGGTGATGGGGCGAACGACGAACCACGAACGAGTGAAGGTGCTGCCAGGGCAAGAGTGTACCAGACGTAGAACGGTGATGGGGGCGTCGAACCAACAAGGCAGCAGCGATGCCACGGTAAAGCGCGCTGCCGTGCTGCCGTGACATGCTCGGGGCTATGAGGACTTGCTTGGTCAGGCGCATGACATCAGCCGTGCGCTTGGATTGTCAACGCTTGCAGCTGCACGGGAGGAGGTCGCATGCCAGCAACCGAGCTGCCTGCAACAGTACGTAACAGCGCTGCCCTATCTGACCCGCATCAGTAATTAAGCTTCCGGCTCAAAAACAGAAGATCATGCATATGGCCGTCGACCGCAATTGAACCGCCGCTGTTTTCTGTTCCCTGGCCGCCGCCTTCCGGTGCGCAGCTGCAATTCCCTACCCCTTATGAGCAAATATGGGCAATCATCCTGCTGGCTGTGGTGGGCGGCTATCTAGGCTGCCTATACATCTCCTTCAACACCTGGGTGTGCGTCGTGCGGAAAAAATGGACCAAGTTCATGTGGGCGCGTATCGCTGAGGTGCGGCTGGCGCTGTCCACGTAACGAATTGGTGTGCATGGGCCGACATACCTAAGCAGCCATCTGGGTTGGCTGACCCTGCGAGTCCCTGCTGAGTCACACGGCAAATCCTCATGATGTGCATACATCAGCATCTTCACAAGTATGTTGAGAGAGTTGGTCTACTACCTGGCTGGTGGGCTGCGTTGTCTATGAAGCACACGTGTTGCATCTTGTTTGCCCCGGCATGTTGCGGTCGCGGTCTCGAGGATGTATGATGATGACTGCAAAGCTCCACATGGCTAATGTGCTGCAGTGCATCCGATGCAACACGTGACGTGCGCGCTAGGGATGGTTGACACTATTTTGTGGTTGCGAAGCTGCGCGCGTGCTGCAAAGGTAACAGGGGGCACCTTACCCCGCGATACGGAAAGCGTCGCGTCCCGGTGTGTGCGCGCAGGTGTGTGCAATCTCGGTGGCGACCTCCACCCTCTTCTTTTTCATGCCGGTTGCGGGACGCTGCAAGAGCTGCGACAGCAAGACTGACGTCGTCTGTCTCACGGGTGGGTCGGGACTTCGCCAAGCAATCGTGCCTCCTGACCTGAAGCCCGCCATCAGGGTTAAACCTGTAGCTTGCACCTCCGATTGCAGTTCGGCTAGCTGACCGCCTTTGGGGACAGATTGGAAGCCGTTGCTTGCGGGTCTCCAAGGTGGCTGTCACTTGCGCGCGCGTGCGCCACACCTGCCACAAACAAAGTCGCATAGGATCCGCCCAGCAAGAGGGTTGTAACGTAATACATGTCGTTTGGGCCCTTCACTCGTTACCGCTGCAGGTGGCGCGCAGTTCAGGACTTTCCAGGGCTTCCACTGCCATACCGACCATCATTACAACGACCTGGCCACTTTGGTATTCAACCCCCAGGTGGGACCTCGTTTGCTTTGGCTTGACCTGTTGCTGCGAAGCCACCCACGCCTTAAGGATGCGTGAGCCTCTCGGTGTGCAGCGTTCCTTGGCCGTTTGTTCTACAGCCAACTATGTTTGTAGCAAGTGTTGCGAAGTTTTGGCTTCTAGAGCTTCCTGCAAATTCGTGAGAAGTCTATCTGCACGGCAGCACGGCATTATGGCGGTGCTATTCGCCCGATGCAGGCATACCGTGTTAGCAGTATCTGGTTTTCGTGGAATGTCAGGCTGCAACTCTGAAGCAGTTGTCCTGGGGGGCTAGGCTATCAGCGTACCATGCTCATGCCCACTCCGACTCAACAAGAACCACATTCCGCTGCTTGCACGTACTGGTCTTTTGTATTGTCAGTTGTGTGTAACGAACAGAGATGTCGCAGGTAATGTCGTGTGGTGTTTCGTCCTTCAGCGCCTGCTGGTCCGTTCTCCCCTCCCTGTCGCAGGGCTATGTGACACAAGCGCTTTTCCAGGGCCATTCGGGCGCTTTCTCCTTCACCTCCATGTTGCTGTACGGTGTTATCTACTGGCTGATGGCAGGCATCACCTACGGCGCGTTCATCCCCTCGGGGCTGTTCACACCGTCCCTAATCTTCGGCGGCCTGCTAGGGTAGGTCGAGGGGAAATGCTTGTAATAACCGATGTGCTGTCCTACAGCCTCCGTTGGCTTTAGCTCTATGTGGGCTTGATGCTCTTAAAACATGCTTGGTTGCGGTGTCGTGCGCTCGCTTGAGCCAAGCCTGGCTGCCCGAGTGCCAAGTGTTTCCAAATGCCCCGGGGGCAGGTCCTGTGTAGCATGGCGTGTGCAGGGACATATTCGTGTGCACGGACAAGTCATGTTGTCAAATGAAGCCGCCGTTCATGGCTGTGCTATGTCGATTGCACAAGCTGATGCATGCGGACCGCACGGTCACTCTGATGCAGTGCATGACCCGTCGTAACAGCGGTGGTGTGTGCAAGCCCCCCTTGGCCAGCCGTTAATCTTCGTGTGGAACCTCTTCTTGCTGGCCACTGATCCCTGAAACCCTTTTGCAGCCGGATGTGGGCTGAGGCGCTCGTTGCCATGCACGTTGCGGATGTCAACGCGGTAAGGTTGGGGGCTTCGAAAATTTTGTGTGTACCAAAACTGAAACGCCAGTTACATTACCGAAGAATGACCAGGTCATTGCATCTCCTCTCGCTGCGTTGTGAACAGTTTCTCCAGTACCGAAGTGGAGTTCTGACGTTCATCGGCGTCCCCAAGGCATTCATCAAGGCAGTTGCACCCGGGTTTAAGCCGCTGAATCAACGGCACCGTTGTTCCCACAGACAAGTTGCCGCGCCTTCGTGCGGGGGCCAGCATTAGTGTCCTGGTTCAAGTTTCCTGGTCGCTGTCCCCCTGCATTCTCCACGCCTGCTGTCAGCTTTGTCTAAAGCACAGCGCACGTGACTGCCCCTGGTGCTTCGCCCTCCTTGGGCGTCCTTTCCCCGCAGGTGGGCTTCTACGCGCTGCTAGGTGCAGCATCCTTTTTGGGAGGCCTTATGCGCATGTCTGCGGCACAGGCGCTCATCCTGATGGAGATGACCCAGTCGCCAGCCATGCTGCCATTCCTTATGCTGGTGAGCGATTTCGGGAAGCGGTGACCGGAGGGTTTTCTCCTTTTGTTGTGGGCTTCTGGTAGCCGGGGGGCATTAAGTGTCGCCGTAAGCGTGGGTATGACGGGGGGGCCAGGCGGCATGTGCAGCAGTCCAGGTGAAGGAAGAACAGCCAAGTAGGCCGGAGCGGGGGAGAGAACTCCGATTGCGATGACACGCATCGCCCTCGGAGTCGCGTGGAAAGGAACTTCTTTCTCGCTCGCCATTTTTGTGGGTTAAATACTCTGGTTGAAGGGATACGATTGAGGAGCTATGGCCATGGGAGAGCCTCTGCGGTGTGCCAGGACCGGCAAATGTGCGCGCTTTCCAAGCGATATGGCCAACTGTGCATTAGGCACTCGCCTGAAATGCTTGTCAGCTGGGGAATATTTACCTTCCGATCTTCATCCAACCCTAAACCCGGCAGGTCCTCGTCATATCTAAGAACGTGGGCGATTGCTTTAACTATGGCGTCTTTGAGCACCAGATGATGCTCAAGGTAAGGCGAACGCCTCCTAGGGACCCGTCCTGACCATGGGTCTCTTCCTGGGCTTGTTGCACCTAGAGGGATTGCGACCCTGGTAAGGGCTGTGGCTGCTTGGGTCGTAGCTCATCTAGCTACATGGAGCCAAAGCAGGGGTTGGCGAAAGGAGCTTGCCGCCGAATATCGTATCCCGTTCTGTCGTGTCGGGATCAGTCAGGTAGCAGCCGGTGGGGCTAACCGGCCGTGAGACCGTGGCGGTGAGGAACATGCGACATTTTTTTTGCCGGAAACCAGGCTTGCTAGGCAGGCTCAAGTTTTTCCTTTTTTTATTTTTTTGCCATGTTCTGCTTTCCTCTTCTTAGCTGTGAACCGCCTATGGGCCCTGCTACCTGTCCGCTCCCAGAACTTGGCGTTTGTGGGCCTGGCGGAGAACAACAGCAAGAAGTTCCACATCAACGCCTCCGACATAATGAAGCGAAACGATGGGAAGGTGCGTGATGACCATCCACGTCGGCAGGCAGGGCCGACATTGGGCTATGGTGTCTGAATGAGGCATGTCGATCAGGACCGCTGCTGCTCCGGTGTCACACCGGCATCTTACAGCCACCAACTATCCATCACCATGGCAGCTTGCAAGCGACTGCGAGTCCTGCTGCTCTCCACATCGCCCATTATGGCCGGTCCCCTAGCCTTCATGCGCGCTTCGTAACCCAGCCTTCCGCTTACTAGGGTCGTCGTAACCCAACTTGATATCCCTTCGCTGCTCAGGGCGATACGCTGTACACCGTGGAGCCCGGCTGCGTGTTGGCGGAGGCGCTGGACACCTTCCGGGACAGCGCGGCATTCCCTGTCACAACCATCCCACCTGACCCAGAGGACAAGAACTCCAAAGGTGAGCAGCCACAGCCCGAACATGTGTGTGGAGTACCAAGTGCAGGGCCTCCTGTTGAAGATCTTGCTCCCACTACCTCACAACCCATTATGTGTCCGTGCCGTCAAGGGCGAGGACTTGCTTCCCAACTTTTTCTTCCCCGTTTTGTTTCCCCTGCTCATCCTGCGTCTCTCCTGATAGGTAATTTCGTGGGCATGATTAGCCGGCGCAACGTGGCGCAGCTGGTTGACGACTACGGGGTGGACGCGGATGCCATCGACCTGACTTCCAAGGTGGAGGTGGCGCCCATTCTCATTCCACCCAACATGCCGCTACCCTTCATCTATAGGTGTGCGCGGGGTAGGGACCGGGCCTCGCACAACACGTGGGGCTCAGGGCCAGAGGCCAGCGGCTACCCTTCGGGCACAGGGACGCTTCATTTCCGCTGGCTCCAAAACCCATGAGGGATCACCGCTTTCTGCGTCCTCTAGCCCCCTTCTCGCGTCGCTATTTGTTGTTTAGCGGTTGTTGCTACTGTTAAAAACCATGGCAAGTGGATTAGGCTGGCGCTGATAGTGATTTACTGTTAAACGTGGTCCTGCCCCGACTCTGACTCCCGCGTTTACGTTAGGATTGTGAATGCGGAGGGCTTCAACTACGTGCCGGTCATCCGCTGGAATGGGCCGCTGGAGGGCATGGTCAGTCGCGCGGAACTGGTGGAGGTGCAGAATGCGCAGGTACGTGGTCCTAGTGACCGAGGAGCAGGCTAGGCGCTCGGTCTAAAGAGGTAGGGGGAGAGGGACGGAGTTCGGGGTTTGTGTTGTGTGGGCAGAGGCACCTGCGCTATTGGGAAAACGCGGCTCGGAGATGCCCTGTGCGCGGCCACTTGTACCCGAGCGGCTGGAGGAGGATACCGGGGAAGGCACTTCGCTCTGTGCTTGCTTAGATGTCCACATAGGCGTCCACAGCAAATATTCCGCAACTGTTGGCGGTACAGTCAAATTCATTCCTGGCATTATCGCCAAGTGCTGCTGTTCCTACGTTACCAGCATCTTCCCGCCCTGTGCCCCTTCCGCTGTCACCTCAACACGGCCCACAGCTCGACCAGTTCCACCTCAAGGAGCAGATTGAAAAGATGGCGCACGAGATCGACCAGGGCAAGATCATTGGCTCCATGCACCTTGACAATAACATCCATGCGCAGGTAGGGCTAGGGGAAGGGAAGATGTCTGCGCGGTCGTGCAAGTGTCTATGCTTCTAGGGCTTGCGTGCCCTTGCGCTAGATGCCCCATTGGGGGTGGAGCGCGTGGGTGACATTTGGCATCTGCTCCCTGGGACATGGATTACGCGCTGCAGGCCTTCAAGCACATATTTTCAAACCCGGTGGCGGCAGTACGAGAGGTATTAGACAAGGATGACAAGCCCATGGAGGTGCGTGGAGGGTCTGGAGCTGTCCAGGGTTCATCGCCATGTAGATGAGGGCTTACACTGGGAGATACTTTCCGATTGTTTGACGTTAAAGCCAGTTAATTATTGTTTACATGGGCTTTTCCCATATTAGGCTGCGCACTAACCCCTGCTGATCCTGCCAGTCACACGATAGGACTCCAGCAGACAGCAAGGTAGTCTTCGTATCCTCCCCACGGCTTTTCTCAACGCTGACACTGGCCACGCTTGTCTGTCCATGCTCACTGTGCTGCACGCAAAAATCGAGCACAGAGCGCTGACGGCCGCATCGGCCTATATGCAACCAATTGCCATGTCCATGCACAGCCTCTCACCTACCTGACTTCCCTATGGCTGGGACTCAGCGACCTGCATTGGCCTAGCGGTGACTGAACGGGGCAAGGATCGTGGTCGTGGGCGCCCCTGCAGGTCGCGGACACCTTTTACCTGGCAGCAGATGACAAAAGCTACTCATCACGACCGTCGGACGTGGCGCGCTTGCACTCCAGCGGCCACGACGCCTCGTTGAGAATGCGATCGCGAATGTCGCTGGACCCCCTCGGACGCGCCGCGGCGGGGCCGCCGTCCAAAAGTGTGAACGGCGAAGACTCCGTAGCCAAGGGCCACACCACGCAGGGCGACAATAATAGTTACCGCAGGGACGCAGCAGACAGCGGTGCTGGTAGCTTCACGGATATCGAGATGGGCGGCAACACCTCTGGTGTGACCACGGATGCCGGAATCGGTGTGGCGACTGGGGTTCATCAGGTTGGCGGCACGGGTGATGACCGCGACGGCCGAGGTGACGGCGGCGCCAATGACGAACGGACACCGCTGACGGGGGGCTTGCCGAAGTCCTCCGGCAACAAATGATGCCATGCGACGGCTTCAGCAATTACGTGAAATTCCGGAAGAATAAATGTTCGTGCTCTGGTATTCGCATGAAAACCTGCGGGAAAGGGCTGCTTGGGCAAGTGGTCGCCATGTCGGACGGGTCTCAGCAACTAAAGCGTGGGTTCAAAGGTTAGAGATGCAGGCGCGGCATGCAAATGTAGTTCATCAAGGTTAGGCGCAGTTGAGCAGCAGACTTTGCCGGCCACAGCAGGGCAGTGGACGGTCAAGAAGTCAGGGTTTGCCATGGGAGCAGCCGTTGCGTCGTTGCAGTGAGAGGGGCGGACGGCATCGCACAGTCGGCCAGGTGAGGGGCTGCAGTGCGGGACCAACGGAATGGTTGGTTATTGGTCTTCTTATTCGCTTGAGCACCAAAGCCGGTGAATCTATAGGCGCTGCGCCTGCAAGTACGGTCAGAGGCGTTTTGTTGAGTGGTGGTAGGTGAGCATCAACACCTTGGTGTCATCGGCCTTATTGTCAAAACAAATGTAATGTGTGTTTGTATTACAGCTTGAGTTACGTTACCCTCCAAAGGTGAAACGGGCCCGGAGGCGTAAGGACCAGTCGAAGGCTGTCCGAAATAGATAGATATACAATGCGAGGTTTACCGAGGCTATCGGTCGCAGTCCCCGTCATTCTATCCCTTACAAGTTTATCGTGCATTCGTCATAATCGCGTGCCCTCACTGTCCAGACGGTCCTGTCCGGGCACATCGCACGATACGACACTGAGACACAACAATCTATAGCCGCACATATTCTATTAGCGGTAAATGTATAGCAACAAATATGTCAACACGCTCCTCTCGTCGCTCACCCTTCCTAAGCCCAGTCTTATGGGCCACCAACATTTTCTGCTGACCCCATGCCGGTGCTGTCCTGCCCTGACAGGACATGACAGAGCTGCGTCTCCGCCAACCCGCGCATTATTATACATCCACTAATGATGCGTCCGCAGTAACACGTGACACATTCATTGTGTTACGGCATAGACCGCCGTACGACTTCTCTGTCACCCGCCGCACCCCAGACGAGCTGAAGAGAGACTGCGCGACGTAGCGCAGCAGCTCCTCCACACCACTGGGCGGGGCATGTGCAATAAACGCAACGGCACCAGCCAACGTGCGGCATCAGACACTTCAATACACTCCATCACAACGCTCCAGCACGAAAACATAAAGACACAGAGGAAGAATCAGGCAAGCAAGTATCGTACAAATCAGTTCAGGAACGGGAGCCGCTCGAGAAAACGCAGCCGACCTAGCTTTTTTGTACAAAAAACCCACTAGCATCCTCAGGGTCCGGACGGGGGATGAGGGTCTCGTGCGCCAATACACAGATCCAGCAGTTAGTAACTCCGCAGGCGCCGGAAATAGCTGCGGTGCAAAATCCCGGGGGCCATACATCCCGCCTTGCGTACCCACTGTGGTCTCGGACGCCATTCGCGTCTGTTCCTATCAACAATGAGCAGACCACTCTATCAAAAAGCATCCACCCAAAACTCAGTCTGTCTATCTGGGGACCCCTACTGTTTCCTCCATGACTGAACCCTTCCGATTCAGGGAGCGGTATATGGCGAGTCAAGTTGATATTTGGCGGGCCTCCAAACAAACTCACATCGTCTCTTTTATCTCCGAGCATACACCTTGAAATCAACACAGTGTTCATTCTTCCTCACCGCACTGCTCCCATGATCCGTTCCGCTGTACCGCTACGGGACACTCCCCCTAAGCCAGAAATTGCATTCCTCTGCTAGCCATGCAGCGTCGCTACAGCGCATTTCTCTCGTCTCTTTGCTGGCTTCTGTCCATTGTAATAACGAAAGCGCAATGCATATGCTTCCGCGAAACACCAAAGATAAAGCGAAATGTGCATCTTCCTCGTCAAAACAATTGACACTCCCCTTTTACTATCCGTCCCCACCTCCCTAACCTCCGTCATTCCCACTATTAACAATCAAAGAGGCATCCACGTTCGTCGTCGTACAGAAAGAAAAATAAACCGCCCGCAAAACCTTCCGCCTATAATTGATGTGTACACTGATACACCGTCGCAAGAACGACATCCCTCCGGCCTTGTGAAACTACGTCCAATCATTTAGCGTACACAGTCCGCACAGAGATCATGCCGTCCTCGGCACACCGCACGCACACCCGCAGCCGCCCTCAGAGCGCCAAAAGCCTCTTTCCCTCCGTCATGCCCCTTAGACTCAGCACCATGAGGCGCCAACCGAGCCACACCGCCCAGGTCCAGGCCCGAGCTAATGCCGCTCCCTGGAGCCTACGGGGAGTACGCATCGACTCGTCTATCCCCATCATTCCCCCTCTCCCTTCACGCATCTTTCTGCAGCTGGGGGGGCACCAGGACTACAGCAATGCGCTAGGGCCCCGACCAGACGCACCTTTCCCCTTCCCCTTCCACCCATACTCGGTTCGCAATCATCCCTTACGGGCAACCTCATTAACATTGATAGTCCGCATTCGATGACACCTCCCCCCATGTGCTGTTATGCTCCGAATGTGCGATAACGTGAAAACAAATAAATGAAAGCAGCGAGTCTATCAGCAGCAGAACTCATAGCTATCGACATTAAAAACGCGCAGGCTGATGAAACCGCTCCAAAATGGACTATCCCAATCTTTCACCCTTTTCTGTTCCCCATCTCTTCCTCCCCGTGTGCTCTTCGCGTCCAAGCTGTGTGCCACCACAACGCCGCCGGGGACCCCGCCATCGCATTCGCAATCGTGTCCCCCCGGCGCCCTCCTCCTCCCGTCCGATTGCAATTCTCCCCCTGGCTTGTTGGTAGCTCGCTAGGCCCCCACCCCGCTGGTGGCGGTGGTGGTGGTGAGACCTTGGTGCCCCTTTCCATCGTTTCCTCTCACGCCACGCCGGACGAACTCCCCCCCACAACATAAACATCAGAACAACCCAGACGACAGAGCCCTGCCTTCACCCCTCGCCGCCACTTCGCGCCCCAAACCCTCTGCGGCTGCCGCAGGGGCGCACAGGACGCTTCCCCCCATCGAGAACTCCCCCTTCACAACCGGATGTAACACACCGCACCACCGCCCGTTTCCAGACTCCAGGCTCCAGCCCCCACCAACAAGGTCGTCGCCCCAAAATCCCCAGGCCTCAGAGTCGGCCCCCACTGCCGTTTGGTGGCGCTATCACTAGGTGACCTCCCACCCCGACCTACCCGACACGTTACCCTTATCACGCAGAAAACCGTTGTCGTCATTCGTGTTGCTCGTCAGGTGCTGCTATCCGTTTGGACGGTTAGTTCACCGGTATGACTTGCAGCTCCACCTCAGCTGCGTTGACCAGGTCGCGCAGGGTCTCCGCGAAGACTGCGCAGTAGCGCTCCCTCACTCCCGGAAGGGCGGTCAGGGCCCCCAGGGTCTCATTCATGGCGGCCCGCACCGCCGGGTCGCCGTGGGTCAGCATCACCGCCACCACTCGGGCCAGCAGGCTGCGGGGGACGTGGTCCGCAGCCGAGGAAACAGCCGCAGCGGCCCACTCCGCAGCCTCCGTGCTCCCTGCTGCAGTTGCACGATGAGCTGGGTGGGCGGAGGTGGCGCCGCGTCCGAAGAAGCGACGCAGGCCAGCGCACGCCCCGCGAGCCAGAGCCTGTGGGCAGATGGTGGTGCGGAGGCCGCGAGCAATTTCAGCAACTTCAGAAGCGGAGAACCGTTCGTTACGCAGTCTGCGAGCGCGACGTCAAAGAGCCCATCGGCAGCGGGCGTGTCAAGAGGGGCATGTACGCGATTAGCAGCAGCAGCAGCGCCATAACCCTAGCTCTGACTAACACGCCCGCCCAGCCACCCGGGATACGAACAAGATCCCCCTACACAGTGCGCACAGGTACTAAACAACGCAGACGGACAGAACCCACAAGTTGCGGGGTGGTGATGCTGGTGAGGGTGTCCGTTCTTTTGTCGCGCAGGAGCATACAGCCGCGTGTTCGCTGGATAACCCGAAGACAAGAGGTACCCTGGAAGGATCTGGATTACCCCGGGCGCTCGCGCCTCAACCCGCCATAGATGGACCAGTTGTTAACAAACCGTACCGCGGGATGGGAACAGACACCTTACCTGGAGTGCTTCAGCAGCGGGCAACAAGCACGCAGGATGTTCCGAGACCAGCAGCCCCTCCAGCAGCCCCAATGCGCCGCCACGAACCGCCTCAGTCACAGCCACCACGTCATCGCCCACGCCCGACGACAGACAAAGCATGCCGTACGCAAGCAGCTGCGGATCACGCTCCCGCCGTGCCGCCGCCAGCAGCCGCTGTACACCCCCGGCAGCTAGGAACGCGGCGCGATGTGGCTGCTGCTGCTGCTGTTGCTGCTGGTTCGCATGAGGCGGATTGTGATCTGCCCCGGCACCAGCAGCGGCGCCCTTGCCTGCTGCTCCCGGACCGCACTCGGCAGTGGCGTCAGGGTGCGGGAGGAGAGCGGAACACAAGGCGCCGATGGTGGCGGAGGAGCGCAGGCGCACGTGTCCGTCGGGCGCTTCCAGGAGGGCTACCAGCGGTGAAATGACCCGTGAGTCCGTAACGGCTGCAGCGAATGGCGATAACGACAAGTGCTGTAGCAGCCACACCGTATAGAGCAGAAGATCTGAAATCGGTGGTCCAACATTGGTCGTTGCCGCTGCCGCTGCAGCAGGTGCAGGCGGATGGACGCGCGGCGGCGCCGCGGGCTCGCAGGCCGTCGCGGCGGCAGCTGCCGCTTCGCCCGTAGCAGCCGCCGTCGCCCTTTCCGTCTGCTCCGCCAGCCACCGCAGTAGAGCCGTCATGGCGTCCCAGTCCATGGCTCGTGCTACAGCCGCCTTTGTGGATGGAACCCCGCATGTAAGGTTGACGAGCGCCATAGCCGCGTACTGCCGTACAATAAGCACGCCGGCGCTGGCGGCAGCGGTGGCACCAGTAGAGGCGGCACCTGATTGCTGGTGCTGCTGCGGGCCGTCCTCGTCAGGCAGCATGAGGAACTCTAGCAGGCGCGGTACATAGCTGTATGGCGGCCCCGCAATGTCAGCCTGCACGGTATTGCGTAAAAGGAACAGCGCGTCAGAGGAGAGGCGGCGGCAGTGGCGGCGGCGGCGGCTGTGTTACCGCCTCAAACTCCGCGAACCCACCGAGCACCCCGCCCCTACACATCACCTTGAGGTCTGGGTCGCTAGATGAGAGGTGCGCCAGCAGCCAGACCGCGAACTTGGCCAGTCCGAGGTAGCCGCTCCGCAACAGCATATCCACGTATTCAGGTGTGTTGCACCCACCATCGTCATCGCCTCTACCACCAGAGCCGGAACCACCAACAGTGACACCCCCCGCGCCGCCGCCGGCCCCCAACTCGAGGGAGACCGCCGGATCGCCAGCCGTGTTGTAAGGCATAGCCGCCGTAGCGGGCCGCGGTAACAGCACCCCCGGCTGTAGCAGCACCCCAAACAGCGCTTCTAGTTCCGTCAACATCCCCCCGGACATGGCGACAGCGCGCTGATTAGCGCTGTTATCAAACGTAATGTTCACCAGAGCCATAAGCCCGTACTGTACGGCTGCAATCATGTACGGCATGGCTGCGACACGTGGCGAGTCGTCACCCGCTGCTGCCGCCGCTGCGGCAGCTGCATCATACAGAAGCGTCGATGACGCATGTGGCATCAGTCGGCCAGATATGCATGGCGCTCTAAGTCCCTGGGCTGCCGGAGCAGCCATGGCCCCGGCGTTCCCACCGCGGTGGCTACCGCCGCGCGCCCCCCCAACCAGACCCCCTCCCGAACTCAGAGCTTTCACCGCCCGGGTCACTGACGGCTCGTGCCAGCGGTCTGCTTCCGTACACGCCGGCCCCGCCGCCGCCGAAGCCGCCCGTGCCCGGACAAATGCGGCCCTCTCTGCAGCCGCGGTCACCCAAGCCATCCGCCCGTGCCGTATTAGCCGTACAAGTGCGGGTACGACTCCCTCCTGCACTAGTTGCAGCTGCCCCGCGGGTACACTGCACAGGTGGGCGACCAGCCAGGCAGCTAGTCCGGCAATGTGCCACCTGGACGCCGGCAGATAGGAGCGGACGGCACCGGGGCCGGATGCTGCTGCTACTGCCGCTGCTGAACCTTCCGTTAGGTCATTCACGTCATCGTCATCATCAGGTACATGCAGCAGGCTGAGCAGGGTGTTGGGAACCCATGGGTCCCTTAAAATCGCCTGTATGGAGGATTGAGGCGGGGAGAGGGGCCGACGGGGGGAACGGGGACGGGGAAGTTGAAGGCACGGGGGAGTTTAGGGGCGACTAGCGGACGAATGGCGGCGCACGGAGCGCTGGATAGAGGCCTGAACTTGACCTCATCAGACGGTGGACTCTGAATGTGAGCCCGATCGGAAGGATGCTCCCGCTCCGCCCCACCACCGTCACCACCGCTACCCTAGCAGCACGCGGCCGGCGATACCCACCTGCCTCACCGGGGCCCCTGCCCGGGCGTTGCTGGTCAGGTTGACGAGCGTACGCAACACGTACGACAGAACTACGGGGTCACGGGTAGACGGTCCAGCGGGGCCGTCACCAGCCCCGGCCTTCTCAGGCTCTCCACACTGCCCCTGCTCCTGACTGCTGCTGCTGCCACTCTTGCCGCTTCCACAGTTACTCCTGTTAGCACTGTGCACATTCAAATGCTCTGCTGGCACTGCCTTTCCCTTCCCCGCCCTGTGGCCCCTCTCCTGCTGCTGGTCGCCACATGCGTCACGGCAGATCCGGCTGCGTCTTAGCTGGGGCCGGGGGCCGTCCGCCGCATGCAGAGGGGCCCTCCAGGCTGGCAACAGTACTCCGGAGCCGGAGGTGGAATGGGAATTCCCAGGAGGCCGGGTGAAGGCTGATGAGGCCAGCAGGCGGAGCAGAGCAGGGACGGCGCCGGCCTCGCATATGGCGGCCTGGAGACCCCGACGTGAAGGTGATAAAAGGGCCTGTGGGGAGACAGGTTCCGACGAGGTGGTTCCGGAGCAGTGGCCATGGTTGCTTGAGGATGGGCCAAACCACATCAGTCAGGGCCTGTGGCAGCGGATCAGCAATGCCTTCGGGAGAAGGAAGCCAATCGTGGTATTGGAAGGACCCACGGGCCATGCGGATTGGATGCGCAGCGCTGTATATGCCGGAAGCGTTCTGTTGTTATGGAGAACTTTGGAGGAAATTATGTTTCCGGGGTGTTTGCTCTTGGACCAGGACCAGGATAAGCAAGTACGTCGGCTCCCGTGACGTGATAGTGACTCATTTCAATTCAGAAAGTCATGTAGGGTTCATATGCTTACCAGAAGCTCGGTCACTTCGGCGTAGACTTCAGCATCGGTCGATGTCTGGCCATCAACGGCAAAAGCATGGACATAAGCAAATATATTCATAATGAATGTAATGAAACATGTATGGGATTAAAGCGGTAAACGAAATTAAGCAATTGGACAGGTTAGGCGGACCAAAGAAGCCGAAGGTTCCTTGCCTGCAGAAGCTTGCACAAATGAGGAAGGGCCCTCTCCCCCTCGCGTAACAAGCTAGCGACATATCCAGGATTGATAGACGAGATATCCAAGGGTAGAGCACTGAGTTCTTGCTTGAGTTGTACAAGCGTGCGCCCCGAACCGTTGGGCAGATGTGACCCGATGTGACCGGGACAGCAAGACGCTGAAAGGTACTTCAATGCACCTCGAGCTGTGACACTTGTTGCTGCTGTAACCTGCAAGGTCCGTGGCAAAGCAAAGCATGATTCTAAATTTCAGGCATCGGAGAACCGACCCCGTTTGAGAAAGTAATAATCCAAACGTACTCGCAATATTTTCTGGTCTGAATTGCGCCTTAGGATTAAGGTCGCGCCTGCTCACCTTGTTTGCTCTCCTCCTCCTCGTCTCCCAGAAAACAAGCCCGCAAGCCGCTGCAAGCCAAAGCATCCGCTGTTTATTTGCCCCAGGTTTATGTGGTTATTATATTGAAATTCAGCCGGAAAGGCAAGCTTGCATGCGGCGTGTAACTGTTCCAAGGAAAACCCTTGCACCGGGGACTAGAGTATACTATAGGTGTTTAATTCTGGCGTATAAAGTGACGGTGGTATGTAAGTGAGGAAGGCATGACAACCTGGCTGCAAATGCGGAACACTTGACAAGAACATCGGGCAACCGAATTCCGTACATGACGAGATGAGCGGCAAACACACACTAGCATCACTCTGGCAAGAATTTTATATATCTATTGCTTATATTTCGTTCAGCGTCTGTTATCTTAGTACAGAGACAGACAGTAAAGCGGACCTGAAAAATGCGGATACGGACATCCCGACCGCCACCGCTTAGCCCGATCGTAGTCGTCCCCGCAAACATATAAAGCCATGAAGGCTCGTTAGCATATCATATGTGCCCATTCAGCACAACCTGACCTGGGTCCCACGGAGCCGGCGCAGCGCAGCACAACCCGCACCTTCCAACCTCCCGCCCCGGGACCCGACAGGACAGCTCCCTTACAACCTCATCACGCGACATCACCTCCATACCCTCAGAGCCCCTGCTGCACTAGCACCGACAACTCCACCAGAAGCACTCCACATCCCCATCTTCACCCCCCGATCGTACACGCACACCCCCTCCTCACCCACCCACCCACCCACCTACACACAAACATACCCACCTCTGCCGCCATCGATACCTCCTTCAACCACAACCACCACAACCACAGTAATTACCGGCTGGCCACCAATCTCACCCGCCTAGCTGGCTACAGAACTAGCTGGGTAGCCAACTGAATCGTGCAACTGTCACCCATCCCCGCCCAATCATACTCTCTGAAAGGGGCGCGAGGCCTAGCAGCCGCAGCAGCAGCAGCACCACCAGCAGCCACCGTTCCGGCCCCCTAGTCGCCCCGAATGGACTTCACGGCCTACATCGCCAATCTCAGTGCCGACAAGCGCACACTGCTGTACCGCAGCCCCTGGACGAGTCTGGCCGTGTTCCGAAACCTGCCGCCGTTGGCACAGGTGTACGTCATGCGGCTCCTGTTCGTACCGACGCCCTTTCCGGCGGGTGAGTGAGTGAGTGAGTGAGCCGAAGTTGCGGTTGGGCCTCTCTCTCCCCCTCTGCTTCCCCCTTCCCCTCTGTCTGCTTTCCCCGTAGCTTGCTGGGGTGTGTGTGTATAACCCGTCACATACCCCGCCGCTTGCGTACGTATGTATGTATGTAAGGAGGGACATGAGTTTGTTATTAGTGTTCGCGGATTGCTGCGGGCTGCGGCCTCTGTGCGGCCATTTCGGTACCCGTGTTCCCCCTGCGGCTAGGGCCCTGACACCTCACCCCCTCCCGGTCAGCCCTCTTAGGGAGGGGACTCAGGCGAGCGGAGGGGAGAACTCGTTTCCTGCCACCCCCGCCCCCGCCACCACCACCCGTCACCCCGGCCCCATCACCTCTCGGGCTATCTCAGCCTCATACACCCCAGGGAACAGTCATCCACACAAATGCGCACATACACAATACATATACGCACGCACGGCTCTCTATTCCCCCCTCCTCCCCCTCGTCCCCAGATTACCTGGACTCCTGGGCCCTACGTTCCGCCACCAGCACTCACCAGGCGGCCTTGGCGGCTCTCAGGGGGCTGGACGTACTGCTGGAGCAGCGGATAAAACCCGTCACCACCGTGGGGCCACATGCAGCCGGTTTCGGAGCAGTGGCCGGCGGCAGAGCGGCCTCAGCTGCAGCCGCCCCTCAGCAGCAGGTTCATCGAGCTGTGTGTGTGCTACACCCGGACTTCCGAACTCAGCTGCAGCGAGTGGCTTGTTGCGGGTGACGGGGGAGGAGGGGGGGTTGGCGGGGGGGAGGGGGTAGTTGAGAGCTGCCCCCCATGTTGTTGGACTTCCCCCGATTACCGCCACTTTCACCACCACCATCACTATCACTCCCACACCGCACTATTACTCACCCGTTCGTGTGTCGCACCGTCTTCATTACCTGACGGGCCGATCGCACGTATCCCCCTCTTCCCCGCGCGCCCCGCAGATCCCAGCTGATGCGCGGTGACGTTCCCCCCGCCGCCGCCGCCTCTGCCCCCTCCCTGGAGCAGCTGGGCGAGTGGGCCACGGGGCAGTGGGAGGCGCTGCAGCTCTACCTGCTGGGGGCGGGGAGGTCTCCGCCGGCATTGCCGCCGCTACTGCGGGTGCGGGTGGGGGAGGGGGAAGTGGGGAAGGTAGCGGAGGGGCACATCGTAAT